TATATATATATATATATATATATATATATAAATATATGAAAAATGCATGTGGGTACTTAAATGAAAGGTCTTGATGGGTGTAACACCATGATGAGCTTATATCTTAAAAAACATCAATATTTAAGGAAGTACAGTGGAATTTACCAAACTCATTATTTAATAAAGCAAAATTTTAGTTATTTATAGTTTACAAGTCACCACATTAAAAAAAAATTTTTTTAAGACTATTATTAATTTTTAATAATTTATTTAGGATAAAGATGACAGACTAGACGATAAAGAATCACTCAATGCAATTGAAGAAGACTTGAATGAACAAGTAGATCCTGCCGAAGAAGATGTACAGCAAGAATCCGCAACTTTAGCGGACGCTGATGATCAAGATAATGCCAGTGAGACTGAAGAAGCCGACAACGAAAAGGTACATTTTATTTAAATAAAACAAAATTTTTTTTATCTATTTTATTAATAATAAATTTATAATTTATTTAAGGAGGAACACACTGGCGACGGCGATGGTCCTCGTCGGAGAAAAGCGAATAAAGAATAATAAAAAATTGAACGTAATTTAAAGAAATTTGTAAGCGTAAGAGATGTTAACTTAATTACCATCGAATTTTGTTATGTATATTCACATTCCACATTTCACGGATAATTGGATGAATAAATAACTAAAATTATTTAAAGGTCCAATTTCACCATTACTGAATAGTGTAATGATGATATAAAAAAAAAAAAAAAAAAAAAAAATTTTTTTTTCTTAAATTTTTATTGTTTTATAAGTAAAGTACGTAATGGGTATTAATGTGTTACTAATTTATTAAGCAAGATTTCATTGCAATACCTGTAAAAAAATTACATCATGCCTGAGGCCAAAGTATTTTATTATATGCATGATAATCAATGGCCCGACGGTCTTCATCTCATTTAACTTAACTCAATTACGATGTTTTTTTTTTTTTCCAATCGTTTTCACGTCCAATGGAGAAGCTATTTGCCTTATTATATTAATAAAGTATGTTTTTATTTGTTCACTTATAGTTAATATTAAATATCGAGTACAATATTATATATTTAATTAAATATTATTGTTACGATTTATTATAATTGAATTCTGCAGATCTTTTTACTATTTAATGTATTTTGTCAGTTTATTAATTAAATTTCATTCAATTTGTGTTGTAATAATTGACTATTATTTATGATTTATTATTAATTATTATTATACACAAGCTGGGATCAAAAAAAATTTTTTTAATAGAATATTGTTAATTAAAATAAAATTAATAAATTTACATTAAAGATTTATAAATATTTCGATAGGTATTATAAGTAATTGGATTTAAATGTGAGAAATAAAATTTTATTGAACTGTGCTAATTATTTTAAAAGATTCTCTTTTATTTTAAAATACTTTATCATAGATCTTTGGATCATTTTTATTCTCTTTAAATATTATCAATTATTATTGTTAATATATTTAATCATGATTCGGTGGATTACTTTCATAAAAAACTTACCTGTATTTTAAAAATAGTAAACATGTGACGATAAAAAAAAATGTGATCAGTAATGGCCTAGTGTCCATTTTCAGGAAGGTGTTATCGGAGATCTTCGTGAGCAAGATTTACACGTGGGTACTGGGCGTTGAGATAAATGACCTGATAGTAATTTGGGCTCTTCTTCGATGCATCGTATGCAAAATACGTCTCCGCAAGACCAACAATGATTCTAAAAAGTGGTTAATTTATTAAAAATAAGTATTTAGACTGCGATTAAAAATGCTCTATCTCTAGATACATGAGAAATGACCTTGTATCTGGTGAACTATAGACATTTTTTTAAGATACAAGCTCTTCTTGAGATTACACTGATCGAGACCTTTCATTTGAGTACCCACATCAATTTTTCATATATTTTATATATTTATATATATCACAAATACCATATATATGAAATATATAAAAATTGTCATGTGGGTACTCAAATGAAAGGTCTTGATGAGTAAAACATCGGGATGAGCTTATATCTTTAATAATGTCAATAATTAAAAAATAATATTGTATTTTGTCAACTCATGATATTTTTAAAGATATAAGCTTATCATGATGGTATTATATATTATATATATGTATATATGAAAAATATATCAAAAATGCATGTCGGTACTCAAATGAAAGCTCTTGATGAGTGTAACATCAGGATGAGCTTATATCTTTAAAAATGTCAATATTTAAGAAATGATCTTGTATTGTATCTCGTGAACTATTGATATTTTTAAAGCTATAAGCTCATCTCGATGTTACACTCATCGAGACCTTTCATTTGAGTACCTACATCAATTTTTCATATATTTTATATATTTATATATATATATTACATATATGAATATATGAAAAATATATAAAAAATTCATGTGGGTACTCAAATGAAAGCTCTTGAAGAGTGTAACATCGGGATGAGCTTATATCTTTAAAAACGTCAATATTTAAAAAAGTACAGTGCAATTTAACAAAATTCATTATTTAATCAAACAAAAAATTTTTTTATAATAATTGATTTGTTATAAAAATTTAAAGAATTTATAGATGTCTAATTTTAGTTTCATAAATTGAAATTAATTTAGAAGTTCTAAAAAATAATCTACCTTTTTATTAAAAGCGTCAAAAGTTGAGCAGCAAGAGCATTCCTCAACTTTACTACTAGTTTTCCAGTCAAGCGCAACACTTTTGAGCTCACTCTCTATTTGATTTACTAAAGCATCATTATTAGCACCCCCGATGTCATTTTCATCTTTGTCAATTATTTTTTCCGAGTCCAGGTCTTTACTGAACTCATCGTCGTAATTGTAATTTGGTTGATTGTTTTGTTGACTCTTGGGCAATTGACTTAAATTATTGACTCTTTTAATTAGTAATTTAACATGATCCTCTAGGGAAGTCGTGTGATTGTGAAGGGCAAGCACATAATCTTGTCCAGTCTCTCGGGGATGAATTCCATTTTCAAATCGAAAATACAAACCTTTCCACAGTCTAAAAAAAATGTACAATTTAAAATTAAAATTATATTTTTAATATTAATTAACTCACTCAATATTTTGCGGTGATAGCTTTGGTTCTAATACTTTATTGCATTCATCTTTGTAATTATTACACGCGTACAGAGGATTTATATACTCGTTTATTTCAGCCGCTATATCTTCCCACAATGATTTCGTTCTTTCTGACAATCTAAAAACGATAAATTTCCAAACGATCAATAATTTACTTGTTTAATGTTTAATATTAAATTCTCAAACACAATTTATGTTATGTAAATACCGTAACAACTGTCTCTCTTTTTCGTTATTACCAATAAATGTACCATGCTGACAGCTGTGTACATGATCATGGAGAACTAGTAAAAAGTATTCGTTAAATTGAAACATATAAGGAAATTGGTGCATTAATTGGTATGTCACGTCAATAAATTGAGTAAAAATTGGAGCTAATTCTTTGGGATCAGATGTAATATGGCCGCATCGATCACTGAATTTGTGTCCAAATGCTAGCCAGTCTTTTTCTATTAAAGCCTAGTAAAGTTTAAAAATTAATACACATTAATAATTATAAATATTATACTAAAGTTAGCCGACGTTTTTAATATTTTTTTTTAATAATTAAATTAGAACAAAAAAATATTTTTAAAAAATTGCACTTACAGTTTTTAAAGTTTTTTACCAATGAAAATTTTTTTTTTATTTTTTTGCAATCATTTTTTCAATGAAAAAAAATCTTAAAAATTTTTAAATGTCAGCTAACTTAATTTTCATTTTTAAATAAATACTTAAAGATACTGAAATTAGAAGACTAAAAATTCTTGAATTTTATAGCAAAAAAAAATTATTGTAAATGTGCAATTTTTTTAGTATAATTTTATTGTTTTGAAAATCTAAAAAATTGTTAGATGTCTGCTAAATTTAGTACCATAAATAATTATTCATATCAATAGTGATAAATTACTTGAAATCCTTGAATTGTTCTGTAAAACGGATCTAAAAGCAAGGCTGCTACTGAACAAACTTGAGCAGTACGATCCCAGCCATCACTACAGTGAACAACAACGTTTGTTCCGTTTATTATTGCTTTGGCGATAAACCAACTGGTCTCCAAAATTGATCTTATGTGTTTCAACCAACCACTGCTTTCTAAACCATTTAGAAATGCGCTCATCGATGTAGTTTTTTGTACTGATATTAAATTATAAAAATCATTATTAATAATTTTTAAAAAAATAATAAATTTAAATAAGAATATTTAAAACTTACAATCAATAAGTTTACTTAAACTCGCTCTCATAACATGAATATTTTCAATTCCAAAAAAACGGAATTTTATATTGTCATAAAAGTTTTCATTTTCATATCCTTTTCCTGCTGCTCTATTGGCCATTGCATTTATCTAATTATTTTTAATAAATTATATTATAATTTAATCGAAATATTGAATATTTATTATTATTATTATTATTAATTTGAGACTTACTCTGGGCCGGGTATCAACGACATACATAAACTTAGCATTAGGATTCGTACAAAGAATATGATACAGCATTTGTTCATCCTCAGGACATCGTGCGTTGAATCCCGACAACGGTTGACTACACCGACAAATTGCAGCCTGTATTAAATAATTAAATAATTAAAATAAGAAAAAAAACTTAAAGATTGTAGGACGCAAAATTAAATGTCTAATTAAAACCTTATTAGAGTGAAGATAAGTGAGGACAGGTAGACGTCCTTTGCTTCGAAACTTGGCGCTTCCAACAAGAACATTATTTGTACAAGTAGAGGGAACATAAAGATATCTAGGATAAGTATCACAAAGTTCATAGCTAGTATTCAAGTAAGTGAGTGTCCATTCAGAGTTAGGAAGTCCTTGTCGTTGGAACTCATTCTGAATGTCAAATAAACTCCAGCCGTCGAACTTGGGTGTCAAGTTTTTACTTATTCGCGAATGGAAACAATAGACATCATCTATTCGAGCTGAAATCAATCACAGATTTTAATTTTTATTTTAAACAGCTGATTGATAATCACCAACATAAAAAATAAGAATTAATAATTACTAATTAACATTAAAGTTAACTAACAGAAATTTTTTAAAAATAATTTTTTGGAACAAATTTAATTATTAGAAAAAAATTAAAAAAATGGTAAAGTGACTGTTAATTTAAAATTGACAGATATGTCAGCTAACTTCAGTATCATAATTAATGAAAATTAAGTTAGCCGACATTTAAAAATTTTTAGTTTTTTTTTATTGAAAAAGTTATTGCAAAAAAATAAAAAAAAATTTTTATTTGTAAAAAAAACTTGAAAAATTGTAAGTGAAATTTTTATAAAATATTTTTTTGTTCTAATTATTAATTATTAGTATATCATGATTATTAAATAATTAAAAAATTATATTGACAAAAAATTAAAAACGTCGGCTAATTTTGATATTATTAATTTTTATACCTGGAGAAGATAGTCTCATTAACGTTAAATAAATATCATGGCAGTCTCGTTCCTTAGTAATAATAAAGGTCATTGTCAAAAAATGTTTGCACTTAATATGCAGCGGAGATCCAGCAGTAGTCAGTGGCTGTTTTTCAATACTAGCGATATGCGTATTCAACACCCAAATCTGTTTCTTTTCATTCGGGTATGTGAAAATTAAATGTGTTGCTGTCAAATACAAAGTTCCTACCGAGTGTTTATTACTGTACCTATCTAGCATCCTAACATTCTCCACCTGAAATTACAATAAATTAAACAACAATAAACTAGTTATTAAATAAATGAATTAAAACAATTTACCTTTCCAATTTTAATCAACTCCATAGGATTCATGATTGTTAATTACTAAATATTGACATACGTTATTAAATTAATACTCAGCTGTCAGCTTGACAAATATATGTACGTAGCAATAATAATTATAATATCAATATATATCAACAATTGAGCCAATAATTGGCATTACCTCGTCACTTGATGATAAATTCATTATTTTATTATTTATTTCTTCCCGATAACTCTTGAATTATTGTAACATTATTATTATTATTATATTTATATTTATATTTTAATACTGTAAAAAAAAAAGTGAATTCTGTTTAAAGTGGAGGGGGAATTAAAAAAAAAAACGATTTACTAAAGTAACGACACTAGCGACAATTGCACTTGTGGCAGTTGCGCAAAACCGCCATTTTTTGTTCGCGCATGCGGTGCCAAAATTTTTTTAATAAATTATTTTTTAACTATTTAAATTGAATTATAATAAAAGTAATAAATATTAAAATAAATTGTATAACTAATTTTAATTAATTACAGGTTAAATTAAAGCCGGAAATTATAACACGTGTTATAAAAATAGTTAAAATTGGCGGCTAAAAAACAGGCAAGTTCAAAACGGTGACTTAAAAAAAAAATTAGCAGTGTACCGAGTGCTCTCAAGTGCGCAGTCTTCAGCAGCAGCTTGAGCTAGCTAGCTGATTGATGTGTGGCGTTGATAATATATTTTATAACTATACAACATAACAATCTAACAAAAAATTTCATTCGATGTAATCGTAACACTCGGTATCATTTTGCGCATCATCATGTGGGTTATGTGTACGTGTATGATCGAGTAAAATTAGTACACAGCTGGTTTGTTAATTCAAAAAAATATTTACGGAAAAGCTTTAATTAAAAGTGCTATTTATATTACGTATATTATTTTATCTAAATAGGTAATTATTTTTATTTATTTATTAAATTACTATTAATTAATTAATTTATTTATTTATTATATAGATATATATGTAGCGTAGTGAAAAAATAATTCGCACAAGCGATAACGATTACATGTATTGATAAAAGGAAAAAAAAAAAAAAACAAATGTTGATCGCAAACTAACACTAAAGTTCTATATCGCGCGCGATTGGTTGTAGTCAGGAGCTCAGGACGGTAGAGAGAAAAAATAAGTACGAGGGGATGAATACAATCGACGTAACGAGCTGTAACTACCATCGAGTCCGAATTTGTGATTATTATTATTATTTTTTAAAAATTTATTTATTTATATTTTATTTTTAACAATTTGTGTTTTAAAAATTTATATTAATTTATTATTGAATTGTTAATTAAGTAATTAATTAATTAATTGGAAATTTTAGTGGGCATAAAAATACGCGTCGCGATCAATAAAAAAAAATCGCGGTCTCGTTAACTAAAGTCAATCATATCTTTATTTTCCTTATATTAAAATCGTATGAGAAGTGTTTTGTCTTTTCTGCATGTATATATGTATGTAGAAGGTACATATATATATATAGATGTATATATCGATCATGGCGTATTTGTTGGAATAGTATTTTATCCAGGAATTGTAACGATCGTTCTATTCGTTAAAGTCTGCTCTTGAATTAGTGATAATAAAATAAATAAAGTTAATGTTTTAAAATTAAGAGAAGATAATAATAATAATTTAAATATTAATAGTAATAATAATAATAATAATAATATAAAAATTAATGACACTGAAGTTAACAGACGTCTAAGAATTTTTGATTTTTTTTTATTAATTAAATTACAACTAAAAAAATTTTTTTAAAAAATTGCACTTATAGATTTTTAAGTTTTTTACATGTGACAATTTTTTTTAAGTTTTTTTTTTAATAATAATAATAATAACATAAGTAAAAAACTTGAAAAACTATAAGTGCAATTTTAAAAAAATATTTTTTAGTTCTAATTTAATAACTGAAAAAAAAAAAAATTAAAAATGTCGGCTAACTTCAGTGTCATGTAAAAAAATTAAATAAAAGACAGACGACTGAAAATTTAAGATTTAAGATTCTTAGTGAAGTTGACAGTGATACGTTGAAAGACATATTTAAAGATTTAGTTGCTAGTTAATTGGTTAAATATTAAAAAAAAAAAAAATAAAATAAAGTATTGAGTAAAGAGTTTTAATTAAAGGAAAAAATAGAGAAGCAGAATGGCATCGACGACGATTGCCGTGCCAGCTGCGAGCGCCCCGGTTGTCGTGACGACGATGCATAAAGAAGAAGAAGGAGATCCCCTGGTCGAGTGGAACAGCGACGCTGCAGGCAGCGACGGAACTGTCGGGAACACCGGCGACGGGGAAGCTCTGGAGGAGAACCCAAGGGCCAACGGAATAAACGGGAACGGCAGCGGTGGCGAGGATTGTGCTCTGTGCGAGGGCAAGCTGACGAGTCCCAGGCTGCTCTCGTGTCTCCACGTCTTCTGCGAGGCTTGTCTGGACAAGCTGCTCGAGGAGGATGAAAACAAGGGCTCTGGGATCAACTGTCCGATTTGTGGACAGCGGACGGCTGTGGGAGCTCGCGGGGCTGCCTCTTTGCCCTGCGACTATGTTCTCACTAATATTTTGGACATGTCGGCGATTGAAAATATGACAGTTCTATGCACCTCTTGCAAGGCCAAAGAAAGTGCCGTGGCACGCTGCTCTGATTGTGCCAATTTCTTGTGTCCCAATTGTAACACTGCTCATCAATTTATGAGATGTTTCGAGAGCCACAAAGTTATCGCCTTTGAGGATCTCAAAAGATCTAATAAGACTGTTCCAATTCATAAACCTATTTTTTGTGATCTTCATCCTGCTGAGAATATCAAATTTTATTGTTACACGTGTCAAGTAAGTTTTTTTTTTTAAATAATTATTTACAAATTAGGTCAAAATTATTTTTTTTATTTTATTTTTGGCCATAGAATTTTTTTTTTTTAATTGTTTTTTTGTTACAGTAAAATTACCAGACACTTGATAATTTTTTAATTTTTCTTTAATAAACTAGGTTTAGAAAATTGTTTAAAAAAAATATATTGGCAATTTTTAAGAGCTTCGAAAAAAAAAAAAAAAAAAAACATTTTTTAAATAAATTTTTCTTGCTATAATTTATTTGTTAAAATATTTAAAAAATTATCGTATGTCTCAATTTAAGTATTATGTATTTTTCAGATAAAAAAAAAATCATCAAAAAAAGATAAAATATAAATTTTATTCAAAAACATGAAAGCCAAAATTTTTTCTAACTTTTAAAGGCATAGAAATTTTTTTTTGATCAAATTGATCAATTTTTTTTTTTTAAATTGTTCGTTTTTTTATTACCAAACACTTGATAATTTTTTGATTTTTTTTTTTTTCATAAATTAAGTTTAGAAATTAAAAAAAAAAAAAGTTGACTATTTTTGAAAGCTTCTGAAGGTGAAATTTTTTAAATACATTTTTTTTTGCTATAATCTATTTGTTAGAATATTCTAAAAATTATTAATCTCTCAATTTCAATATTGTATTTTTTTTTTTTTCAAAAAAAAAATACATCAAAAAAAGCTAGAAATTTTATTAAAAAAAATATCAAAATCTTTATTTTTTTCACGATATTTTTTATCATTAATGTACCAGAAAAAAAAATTTTCACCTAATTATGACCCAAAATAGGATTGACTCTCCTTGTAAATAATTACCAATTAATTTAATTGATTGAAAAAGAAAAAAAAAATTTTATTTATTTTATAATAACAATATTTGATATTTATTTGTTTTTTAGGAGCCTATTTGCAACGAGTGTCTACTGGTGGAGCACAAAACACCCGAGCATCAGTACGAAAGACTCAGCGACGCGGAGACTAGCCAGATAGAAGAGCTTGTAAATTTGATGACTGAGAGTAAAAATAAAATAATTGAATGTGACAGTACTTCTTCACACCTTGAAAATGCTCTGAGTGAACTTCAGGCCCAGCATGATCAGGCCAAAGACCTTATTATTGAAACATTTCAAAGTTACAAAGCTATTTTAGAAAAATGCCGCGATACTGCTTTAAATGATCTCGAGAAATTACATTCCGAACGTGAGCTTGAAGTCATGGACACTTTCCACAAGTAATAAAAAATAAATCAATAATATTCTAGAATAAAAAATTCTTTTGTACCTAATTTTATTTTTATCTAACAACATTTTTTTTATTTTTGTTTAGCGTCGAGAAGAGCGCAGAAAAAATAGAAGATGCATGCCGCTTTACAGCAAGACTTCTCGAGCACGGAGACTCTACAGAAATTCTAGCTCTGAAGCGAACAGTAGCCACTCAGTTGATGAATTTAATAAACAACACACCCAAGTCGAACATTAAATATTCAATAGAGTTCCAAACAGACTTTGATCACTTTGAGAAAGTCGCCAAGGAGTCCTTTGGTAAATTTAAAACTGAGAGTACGCCTCCGAAACCCTCACCGGAGATAATCACTTCAATGGCGACTGCTCAGCAGCAGCAGCAACAACAACAAGCAGCTCAACAACAACAACAGCAGCAACAACAGCTGGTCTCTATTCCCTGTCCCAATTCTATAAGCACCAACTCGTCGATATCTTTGCCCACTTCAATGCAATCTTCCTTCGAAGGTGATACTTCTTTCATCATTCCTCCACCCACATCAAGTCCTCAAAATGTACCGGCACCTCCACCAGCCGTTTCTCTTCCTCCAGGTCCTTCCATGCACGGATTTACAAGCATCCAAGAGTATAATCTTCAGCAACTAGCAAGTTTAGCTGAAAAAGTAGATCTCAATGATACGAGTGTGGTTGCGCCAAGCGCCAATCCAAGTCCGATTCCGTCCTTTACGCTGGCCGATTTACTCGCTGGCGAGTTTCCTGTTAACTCCACCAGCCATGCAATCAATAACTTGCAGGCTTTGGCTAAGCTCGAAGCTCTTAGAAGTAATTCTATGGCTAATCAAGGTGATCTATTAATTAAATTTTTTTTTTTTTTTTTAAAGAAGAAAACTGAAAGGTTAATTGATTTTGTTTAAGATTTAGGAAATCCGACGCTCAACGGCGGGAGTGGTCTTGTTTTAGGTCGCGTTCAATCACCAGTGATGAATGAATCTCAAAGTCTTGGATCATTAAGCGCAAATACTCTTCTTAACAGCGGCTATCAGTCTTTATCCAACTCAACCTCGCCCATTTTGTCCCAAGGACCTGGTAAATATCCTTAGTCTTGTGCTTTATAATTTTAATTTTAATTTTCTGTTGCTATGAGTTACTATGAGTGATGATTCACTTATCACTTAAATTAATTAATGAAACAGCTGGTGAATTAATTTAAAGCTTTTTTCTCTTTGATGAAGTGTATAGGACATAACATGTTGAACATAATATTATTTCAACGGTTTAATTTCAGATGACCTTAAAAGTGAATCGATGCACAACATGTCAGGGGTGGATAACAGTGTCACTGGTAGCGGCGCTGGGAGTTACAATAATCATCCACGAGCCACTAACTCAAAGCAAACCCCAATGCAAATTCGATCCAAATTCGGTCAATTGGGTCCTAGTAAAGGACAATTCAATTCGCCGCATGGTTTTTGTCTTGGTACTGATGAAGATATTATTGTTGCTGATACAAATAATCACAGAATTCAGGTTATTATTATTCATATTATTAAGAGAATAAGTAACATTTAAGAAATCATAAAAATTTATGAATAACCTTCTATCTCGAGAACTATTGACATTTTTAACGATATAAGCTCATCCCGATGTTACATTCATCAAGACCTTTCATTTGAGTACCCACATCAATTTTTCATACATTTATATATATTACATATATGTATATATGAAAAATATATAAAAGATGCATGTGGGTACTCAAATGAAAGCTCTTGACGAGTGTAACATCAAGATGAGCTTATATCTTTAAAAATATCAATTGTTAAAAAAGTACAGTGCAATTTAACAAATATATTAAAGATATAAATCTTCAGAAATGTCAATAATGTAGAAATGACCTTACATATCGTGAACTATCAAAGTTATGAAAGATATAAGCTCATCCTGGAGTTACATTCATCGAGACCTTTCATTTGAGTACCTACATCAACTTTTCATATATTTTATATATTTATATATATTATGTATATGTATATATGAAAAATATATAAAAATGCATGTGGGTACTCAAATGAAAGCTCTTAATACGTGTAATATCAGGATGAGCTTATATCTTTAAAAATATCAATTGTTAAAAAAGTACAGTGCAATTTAACAAAAGTCATTATTTAATAAAGCAAAATTTTATTGTTGAATTCATAAAAGTTTAAATTCAAAATTTTATTTTAAAAGTACCAAAAAAAATTGAATCCCTAAATTTACTTAAATTATGAATAATTATTAAGATTGTTTTTTTTTTTTTTTGATTATGTATAGATATTCGACAAAACGGGTCAATTTAAATCTCAGTTCGGTATTCCTGGCAAAGAAGAAGGACAACTGTGGTACCCAAGAAAAGTAGCAGTTATGCGTAATTGCGGTAAATTCGTGGTCTGCGATCGCGGTAATGAACGATCCAGAATGCAGATATTCACTAAGAACGGACATTTTATTAAAAAAATTGCTATTCGGTACATCGATATTGTGGCGGGTCTTGCTGTCACAAGTCAAGGGCACATAGTTGCTGTCGACAGTGTGTCACCTACTGTGTTCGTTATAAGCGATACGGGGAATCTTTTGAGCTGGTTTGACTGCAGTGATTACATGAGAGAACCTAGCGATATCGCTATAAGTGGTAATTTATTTGATCTATTTTTTTTATATCACGTATTGATTAACTTTTATAAATAAATTTATTTTTTTTTTTAAAGGTAAAGAATTCTTCGTTTGCGATTTCAAAGGACACTGTGTAGTAGTATTCAACGAGGATGGCCAGTTCTTGCGTCGCATTGGCTGTGAGAATATAACAAATTTCCCGAATGGGATTGACATCAGCGACGCTGGAGATGTCCTCATTGGTGATTCCCATGGCAATCGTTTTCATGTCGCCGTATTTTCTCGAGACGGTTCTCTAATTTCCGAGTTTGAGTGCCCTTATGTAAAGGTAAGAGCGATAAATTTATAGTAAATATATTATCTTCGATAAACAGTAAATTTATGACAGAAAAATTTATTTTAAAAAATTGTATTAATTTCTTTTCCATATTTTATTTGTTACAATAATTATTAAAATTATAAAATATCTGTTAAATTAATTTCATGTAAATTTATGATATTAAAGTTAGCAGTCGAACATTTTTTTAATTTTATTTAACAAACAAATTTGTATAGAAATTAATATAAAAAAATTTTATTAATTATTTTTAATTTCTACACCAGTTTTAAAAAAAAATTTTTTTTCCATATTTTATTTATCAAAAAAATTACTAAAATTATCAAATATCTGCTTGAACATTTTTTAATTTTATTTAACAAATGAATTTGGACAGAAATTAATTTTAAAAAATTGTATTAATTTTTTTTTTTTTTTAATTTTTACATGAAAATTTTTTTTTTCAATATTTTATTTGTGATAAAAATTATAAAATATCTGATTAATTAATTTTAATGTAAATTCATGACTTCAAAGTTAGCAGTCACTTGATTATTTTTTAGGTTTTTTTTTTTTTTTTTTTTTAACAAAAATACATTTGTTCCAAAAAATTATTTTTGAAAAATTGCATTTTTTATTTTTCAAAAATCCTACATATTAATTTTTTTTTTTAATTTCTTTCTATACTTTATTTATTACAAAAGTGATTAAAATAATAAAATACCTGCTAAATAAATTGTCATATAAATTAAGTATTTTATAAACTGTCATCTAATTCTGGGGAATGATTTACCGATTTGAATTGAGATAGTTGGCAATAACATAACTGCTATAATATTTAGCGAGGTAGAGCTAGTGTTAATTAAAATAGTATTTTAATGGTAAAAACTAACTACAGGTATCAAGATGTTGCGGCCTTAAAATAACTTCCGAAGGTTACATAGTAACGTTGGCCAAAAATAATCACCACGTCCTCGTGTTAAACACACTCTACATATTATGAGGTGGAACAAAGCTACGTCCTCCTGTTAAACAGCCTCTATTTATTGTGAGGTGTGAGACCAGTACCAACAACAATAATAACAATAACAACAACAAGATCCAAGTCAACAATAACATCAACAATAATAACATCGCAGCTTCCTCCAATTAGCAGTACTCCTATTGGGACTGCAGTACTCTCAACGAAAGGTAAACAACAGTAATGACCTGGGCTTATTGCCAGTTGATATTTGTCTGGCCTATCCAAGCAATAGTTTATTTTAAAAAATATGTGTGTTAAATATCATGAGAAATTCAATAATGCGGCTTTAATAGTTTTTAAAAATATGCGTCCCTATTTTTATGAAAGTAAACAACAGTAATGAGAATGAGGTTTTACGGTTTAATCGTATGCTGAAAAAATAGTTTTTAATAATAAAAAAAAAAAAGAGAGAAGGAGCGGAGGTGCGAGGTTTATTAATAGATATACATTTTCGACCAAACACAGTATAAATAGGTTTATTTAGAGAATTGCATTTGGTAAACTGCCAAATAATAAAAAAAAAAAAAAAAAAGTAAAATAAATACAGTGTACCGTAGGAGCATCTGGCTGTAAGCAAATCGCGAATAAATTATGCCTAGGTGAATTATTAATCGTATCTAGGAAGTATTATTACGCGGTTTGCTTCTATTAGCTGAGAAAGCAATTTAACAATGGCCTTTTTGTCAAAAAATTGGTCGTTGAAAATCATTTTTTGACATGTCAGTATTTTAAGAATTATAAATCACAAATCAAAGTAATTCTAGTCCTACTTTCGAGCACTATTATTTACTTTTAAAGACCACTGAGAGATAAAGTCAACTAACAGCTATTAAATTTTTCCTTATTATATTATATATACAGCTCATTTTATCTCTCATTGGTTCATATATATATTATATATATTTTAAAATATTAATATATACTGTCTTATCAGTTGTGCTCAAATTTTTAACAAAATGCTCGAAATTAACCCTCTCCTCGTGTAAATTAACCATTAAAGATTAACTTTTAAGGTTTAAAAAAAAATTACCTATTTATTTCTCGATGATTGTTATTTAATTTAAAAATTTTTAAATAAAAATTAAATAAATTTGAAGGACTTCCATTTAATGTTTGTTTTTCTGGTTACCGTTGGGACATCAATGTATGATAGTAAAATTATTATTTACTTGTTAATCAATAGTGCACTCCCAACGTGGATTTTTTTAATTAATAATCATCGATAAATAAAATGTATTAATTAATATTTTAAGTAATACGAGATAAGAGTGATTGCTTTTTTTTGTGTGAAAGTTTTATTAAATTTTAAGCTTGCGAGATAAATAATAATATTAATAATTAGAGTGATTGCTATTTAATTATAATAAGATACTTTATTATTAAAAATATTTACTCAGGATTAAATATGATTTACATTTTAAAATGAAAATTATGTATTTATACATATTGAAGTATATTTATGTAATTTTTATTAGTAAGTGTGTAAATTAATCGGTTCGTGGTGCTAGACGGTTCATCTCGCGTAAAATTAGTTCAAAAAATCAATAATAAAATTTAAAAAAATTAAAAAAAAATAAGTTTGTCGGGTTTATTGATAATAATATAAATAAATCACTATTATAAGTGTTCTTCGTATTTTTTACAAGGACCATAGTCGAATTGATTTATCGTAAAGAGATTCTTAAATTAATATATCATTTTAAATAGGGGACGATACTTTATGGTTAAATATACGGTTTGCTAAACAACTTCTACACGGAAATAATAAGATGATACTGGTTATTATCCCAGATTATATTAAGTGAAAAAAAATTTTTAGATAGTAGCTAGTATAATCCAGATTACAATGAGTATAATCTGAATTTTTTTTAACTACTATCTAAAAATTTTTTTTCACCACAGATATCACTGAGTATAATCTGGACTAATATCCAGTGTCATTTTGTTCTTTCCGTGTGTGTATATATACAGTTAATTATTTATGAGAATGTGAGTAAACATTAAAAAAAAAATAAGAAACCGATTGCGTACTTTAATAATGAGAAAATGATACATATATAGAAATATAAATATTTTTTGGGGTTGTTTACATAATCAGCCTTAATAATTGGTTCGAGTCGTGAAAAAAAAAAATTTCTAAAATCCTAAAATAACTAAATAAAAATCTAAAAAGGCAGATTTAGTCAGGCATATTATTATTGCCCATTTGTTGTGTAGTTGTCTTATATATTTATCGAAAAATAAAAATAAAAAAAAAAAAATAATAAAACACTTGATATTTAATAGTACTAATTAAAACTTTCTTGCCATACCAAATGTTAAGTAGCTGCATTCGTGTGTCGTGTATTTAAGCTTGAAGATTAAATAATATATATATTTAATATTACCATATTTACAAGTTTAAATAGCTGAGTTAAATGAGACAAGTAAATATCAACGACATTAAAGATATTAAATTTTTTAATTAAAATATTTAAAATCGGTAATATATATATTTTAAATTACTATAATAATATTTTAGACCTTTTTATCATTTTAATATGATATTATGTCTAAGCGATAGCGTTTTTAAAATCTTCTGGGCTTTAAAAAAAATTATTTAAATTATTTATAACGCGTAATTAATATAAAGCCTATTAATTTAATGTTCATCATATTTGTAGAAATTTAATTTTTATATACACTACGAATGCGAAGAAACTTAAAATAAAAAAAAAAATAATAAAAAATTAATAAATAAAAAAATAATAATTGATAAGTAAATATAAAAAAACTTCTGAAAATGTTTAACGTAGTCGTGGTTAGCAAAGTTATAAAGAATAATGCCTGTGATAATAGTATCGTCAGGATAAGTTGTGTCCTTAAAGAGTCTCTGATGTTGTTGCTAGGTAAATATTAATTAGAATTTTGATGAAAATCTAAGTTAACGCTGATGTTATCTCGCTATAAGAGATCATAATAGTCATTGAAAAAAAAAAAAAAATAAATTAAATAATTAATAAAATAAAGTGTGTTCGATTTGCACAACGACACACGCAGCCCATCAACAGCCTCCAACGGTACGCTAAATAAATAATTTTAAATAATAAAATTAAAAGATCATTTTATTTGATATTACTTATAAAAAAAAAAAGCGTCAGAAGAAAGATGATTAATTAAAAGAAGAAACTCATTTTAAATTAATGAGTAATGACCATTAAAAAAATAAAACAAAATATAAATCGAGAGGGTCTTTTACCTCACAAAATTATTATTATTATATTACGCTCACCTTATATATACTTGAATATTTTAGTATAGATTTACTCTATTTACATATTTTTATCTGTGGAAGACTACTTGGCTAATTTAGGCCACTGTTGAAATTCACCCCTTATTTGCCTTGATGTTTGAATTACAACAATAATATTTAAAAGAAAAAATAAATAAAAAGAGGTAAATAAATAATTTAAAAATTTTAAATATATAAGAATAATAAAAAAAGGTAAAAAATGAAAAAAAAAAATTAAATATTAAAACGAAAAAAAAAAAAATGTGAATTACTTGTTACGTAAATGGTAATTGTGATAGATTTTTTGATGATTTTTACAATCTCAAAAGTCTTATTATCCTAATTATATAGAATTATATCTCTTCACACTCTATGTAATAGATTTCTGCTTACTGTTAAAGTAATATACTTGAAAAAAAAACGTTTTAAAGAAAAATGTTTTAACGACAAAGTTATATTATTAATATTAATATTATTATTATTAATATGAACAAGCAACAAACATAATGTCGGAATATATTTATTAAAATAATTAACACACTTTGTCATCGATATTAATATCATAATCAGAGCTTAGAGAAAGACAAAACCAAGATCAAATAATTGCTTATAAGTTATTAATTATTGTAAGATTTATATTACTTCATTTACCAACTCGCCATTGGTCATTTTCACATTTGTGAAAGGACAAATTACAATAGAATTTTTTTTTTTTTTTTTTACTACTATCAATATTATTATTATTATTATTATTATTATTCAAGAGCCATTTTACACTATTTTTTTATTTATATGTTTGAAACACACACACTGTACAATCGTAAGTAGGAGCAATATTAAATAAAAAACACGAAAGCTGAAAAAAATTATAGCTCACGATTCATAGTCTTCCTAGCAACACTGAGTTTTATTGACTATGCTATTAAAAAAGAAATTTTAGGAACAGTTTTTTAGTGATTCAATTTAACTACAAGATATATATTATATACTAAAGAATTAAAAAAGGGAAATGAAATATAAAAGAAGAAATGAAAAAACAAAGAGGAAAGAAACTATTGTCAATGTAAAAATAGCTGATTAAATTTATTAAATTTTATCGGCTTGTGCAATTGAATTAAAATCACTCGTTTTATTTTTTTTAATGATATTGCTTCTTTGATTTATATTTATATATACATATATTAATAATTAATAAGAGACGAATTATTTAATTTAAGATTTATTAATATATATATTTCATACCAAGCATTGATAGTTAATTCAAATCAGTATTTTATCTTAATCATTCAATGTATGTATACGTGAGTTTTCATTTACAATTATTATTATTATTTAATATATATTTATAAATTTATGGATAAAGCATTGTGTTCCATTGGCTGTTTTGCTATAATATTTAAGAGTGCGTTTAAAATGTTAGAAAATTATTTCTTCATCTGCCAAATTAAATGCAAAAGTTAACTCTCATTAATTTATTTTAAATTTGCTATTTAAAAATCTTATTTAAAATAAATTACAAGAAATAATAAGATTATACTGAGTAAAAAAAATTTTTAGATAGTAGCTAATACAATCCAGATTATCATGAGTATCATCCAGAAATCCCGGAAAAATTTAACCTGAAATAATTTTAAAGTTATAAAAATTTTTTATATTATTTCATTAAAATTATAAAATAAAAATTATTTTAATAATTTATATGAATTTT